ACTTTGGGACAGCCTGCCTCCTCCTGCTCTGCCCTCAGCATACACAATCCTGCAAAGGAGAAGGGACGCAGTCAGGAGGAAATGGAACAGCTTCGTCAAACCATAGATCTGGGAGAGTCCCAGCAAGGACTGTACTGCCTTCCTAGGATGGACCAGAAGGAGGCCTAGAGTCCCTCCTGTGAGCAGGCCGGCTCCATGGATGACACTGAGCTTTAGCAAGGAACACGCATGTCCTGTTCTGGGCCCAGGAGCCTGGCCTTGCAGCTGGCCCTGCCGAGATGCTGAATCCCAGGAGGCTGGGTACGCAGCCTAGCAAACACCCAGCAAGGGAGCACACAGGAGCCCAGCCTCAGGTATGTCCGTGAATACATGGACAGGAAGGGCAACATTTTTTCAAACAATTTTCAATACTGAGATCCAGGAGGGGCCCCTCCACCAAAAAGGGAATGAGAGACTCCAGTACAGCATCCTGGGGACAGAAATGACCCCCAAGAAGAGAGGAGGTCCTAGCAGAGTCGACTAATAACATGTGCATGGATCCCTGAGCCAAGTCCACCTCTCCTGTCTCAGATTCCCTGGGGAAGACTCCATAGCACGTGGACGGAGCCTCAGGAAGCAGCTCTGGCCAACTCTAAGAGGCTGGGATGGCTCAGAGGCCCACAAGAGCTGCTTCTGGGCCAGGATCATAGCAGGAAGAGAGCAGCTTCTCCCAGGAGGTGGACAGCTTGTCCCAGGACAGCAGCTTCTCCTAGGAGGACAATGGCTTCTTCCAGGAGGACAGCAGGTTCTCAAGGAAGGACAGAGGCTTCTTCCAGGAAGACAGCACGTTCTTAAGGGAAGACAGCAGGTTCTCATGGGAAGACAGAGGCTTTTTCCAGGAGGACAGCAGATGCTCAAGGGAGGACAGAAGCTTCTTCCAGGAGGACAGCAGGTTCTCAAGGCAGGACTGCAGCTTCTCATGGGAGGACAGAGGCTTCTTCCAGGACCTCTCTTCTGAATATGAGGCAGGAAGAACATGGAACTCTTCGGAAGGGTTCCCCCTTGTACTTTCTGCCTTGATATTCTACAGCAGCCTGCCTTCTGCCCCATATTTGATTGTTTCTTAAACAGCAGCAGCCATTGGCCCTCCTGGGTCCCATCTCCATCTGCCTTCAGCTGTCTCCCAAGATGGATCTGGCCTAAACCGTGCCCCGCAAATACAGATGCCAGCTCCCCATGCTCTCCCGTTGCTGAGTGTGACAGGCGGGTCCAGGGTCCCAGCCCTCTTGTTAAAGCTCGTCTGCTCCCAAACCCATACCAGGCCCAGCCGCACTGGTTTTCAGATTGTGGGATCATCAGGAATGTTTGTGGAGAGTTTTTGATTGACAAAGGGAACTTTATGGGAGTGAGCAGATCTGATGCTCTAGGCAGCAAGAAAAACATGGGAGAGGGGAACGTCTGTCATCACCACCCCAGCTTTGGAGAAGGTAACCAAGGAACGTGCTCATTCAGCGAGCACACACCCAAGACCCCAGCCCAGCGCTCAAAACTCAAGACTGTCGACTACTCTGGAATACACAAATCTCTGTCTTTCCCAATATGCAGCTTCCCAGGGCAAGATGTCACCATGACAACCACACTGTGTGCTCAGCAGCCACGACATGAGTCAGACACCACTGGACACCCAATGCTACCTGCTCGCCAACAGCCTGTGGCCTCCAGTAAACAATCTGCTCTGAAACAAGGGAGGGAGGGCCGAGTGCAGAAAATGGGAGAGAGTGGAGGGTAAGCTTTTCTGTCATTGTTAGAGTTTCTTGCTAAAAGTTAGCTTGTATTACTGATACTCCATAAACAAGACTCTGCAGCCATATTGTGGAAGCCTAGGGGCACAGGAAAAGTAGCTCACTGCAAATAGGAAAATGGTTTGTGTTCACCCAGTTCCAGAAGCCAATTTTCAACTGCTTAAAATAGTCATGATATTTTACCAAGGTAATTATACTCTTAGCTATCAGTAACAATTAAATCCTTAGACTAGAGCTGCTTAATAAGTTCTCAAAATAAAACTGCACACTCCAAGCACTGTGTACTAAAATGTCAAGCACATAGGCAGGACCTCTGATGGGACGCAGAGGCCCAGAGCTCTACCAGCTGGAGGCTCATGGAGGGCCTGACAGGTCAGTGGCCAGAAAACCTTTAAGGCCAGCAGCAGCCCCCTCGGGTGCTCCTTGAGAGAAGGCACTCTTCGACCACCAGCCAGCTGGACGGGCTGCTGTGCAGAGCTGAGGTGAGCAGCAGCCGATACCAAGGTGCACAGGCCCAGAGCAGCAGGCACACTGCTCCCTCCAGCTGGCCAATCAAACAGCTTCATCACGGCTGGCTGGACGGATCCTGCAAACCGGTCCTGGGGCTACAGGGGTGCCTGGGATCAATCCTTTGTCATGATAAACAACCAGTCCATGCCCGGTGATCAATATCCACCTCCTGACTAACACAGAGCAGGCTCAAGAGCACAGCAGGGTCGGGGTGAGGCCAGCATAGGCCAGAAAGTGCCAGAGGCTCTCCACCTGCGAAGCACAGCAGAGAAGAACAAAAAACCTCCTGCCCTGGCTACGCCAGGGGTGACCCTCCGAGAGAAACAGCAGGAAGGAAGTCGAGTACAGACTTCTCAGGAGGCTCCGGGGCTCCACTGGACCATGAGGGAGCCCCACTGGGGATGAAAAGCACATCAGACACCCACCGACCGCAAGCTACTCCTTCCTCATCACGCCGGGAGCCTGGCACTAAGAGGGGATACAGACAGCAGCACAAGTGTGGCGTGGGTCACAGAATGTCAGGCTGCAGGCCAGACCCAGCACGTGAGAACACTCAGGCTCACACAGGACCTGTAAAGGGAACGCTTCCTCTCAGCTTCCAACTGCTGACTTTGCTTAAGAAACCAGAAGTTCCCATGGGACCAGCCTCAGTTGAGGCTGGGCGGGTCTCTGGTGGGAGCCATATCTGTAACTCACCCAGGCCATGCATGAAGGACCACCCCAAAGTGCTGCCCATCTGGCTGGTATGGACCGATATCCCTCCTCAGCCCCAGCCCAAAGCCCGGGAGTGGGCCCAACAAGAAGGCACAATGAAGAGGGTACCACCTGAACACAGCCAGGCTCGCAGGCACCCCTGGTCATCAGGCCTGAGTCCAAAGTTTTGCAGAAAGGAGAACTGAGACCCAGAGAGAATGGGCGACATCTGAGATCCCAGAGAAAGGCCCGACCTCCAGCCTAGCCCTCCTACTCTTCCTCCCTCAGGAAGCTCTGACCTTCCCATATCATGGGACCACAGCACATCATCGCATACCCAAAGACCACCAAGCCCAGGTGTCCTGCCACCCCGACAGAGCACAGCCTCGCCCTCTCTGCTTCCCAGGGCCTCTCCTCAGCGGCAGGGTCAGACTGCACTTGCCTGAACCCCCGCAGTGGTCATCTGCTGGGCCCAAGCTGCCATCGCCTCTTGCTCCTGGCCTGGAGGCTGACTCCAACAGCACTTTGTGATGAGCTGCCTTCTCTCCCCCCGCTGTGGTTTTCCACACATGCTTTCACAAAGTGGAGATCCTTGGGTCCCCGCAGGAATGCCGCCTTCTGAGAAAATCCCTTCTGTGGCACCACCTTGCTGTCCACCTCTGTTGAGGTGGGTGGAAGGTGCTCATTTGTTGCTACTGCCTGACCAGCCTCGAGAGTGAATTCTCCAAGGGCTGTGTCCACACATCTGTGCCGCATGCACCTAATGCATCTTGCTTAGAAGATGACACACTAGTAGACACAGTGTCAGAAGAGAAGGGAACACAGAAGAAGATCCCAGAGAGTGCTCCACAGAAATGCACCGTGCCTGACCATGCAACAGGGCTCAGTATCCCCTTTGCCAGAGGTGGCAGACAGCTCCAGCTGAAAAGCCACGTAAGGACATTTTGGAGGGTCCCTGTCTGGGCTGCACCTGCAAAGCCAGGGCTCTGGGGTCAGCATCTGAGCTGTGCACAGAGGCCAGCTCAGCCTGTGTTCCAGGAAGCCCACACGGTGCTCAGAGGACCTGGGCCCATGTGAAGTTTTCCTTAAGGAGACAGCATGGTGCTACCCGAAGGAATGTGCTGGAGAAGCCATAAAACAGCAGTCCTCAGTAGCAGAAATGTAACTCATTTTCTCAAAGATCCATAACCAAGGGGTCCCAGCAGCAACAAGCCTTGGTTTTCATCAAAAACAATTAAGAACAGGCAAACATTCATCAGGCACAACTCTCGGTCCTTGACAGGTGCGGCACCCATCCTGGGCCCCAGGGTGGCACAGCCCTCCACCCATTCAGCACTAGTGGAGGCAGGCAGGGGGAGTCTCTGCCCAGCAAGCTGGACAGCCTCCCTGGCCTAGAGGGCATCTGGGGACAGACTGACTTATTTCCTGCCTTCCCTTCTGAAATTTCAGTGCCCAAGGAACATTTTAAACAACACTCACAAAAGCTTTCTTTCACGCTCCAGCAACCTCTGCTTAGGGTGCCAGACATCAGAACCCTTGCAGGCGCCGACAATAACAGAATCAAGCCATGTAGCCACCACATAGGTGGGGCTGGGGCACACCTGGAAGCAGGTGACAGCCTTTGTCCCAAGCCCTGGGCCAAGACCCACACAGCAGAACCTGCATCACTGGACGGCAAAGCATGAGAGTGCTGACTACAAGGGACAGGGACCCTGCAGAGGATCCACAGGGACAGGGAACACTCTCCAGGGAACAGCACTGGGCCAGGAGTGGACTCCGGGATGCTGGGGGAACTGAAAAAAGTGGAGTACACACCAGGCCCAGAGAGTCCCACAGGGAACACCAGGGCTGGGAGCACCCTCTGGCATTCCCAGAACCCTCCTGGCAAAAGAGCCAAAGTGCAAACCCTGACCCAGCTGCAGGATTCCTGCCATGGAGAGTGAGATCTTGCCGACCAGGTGTGCGTTCCCCCACAGCTTCCTGTGACTCTGATCCAAATGTGAGGGCATAAATCACCTTGGTGAGCAGCAGGACCCGTTTCTGGAGCCTCCGGGCCAGCGCCTCATGTGTCTCACGCTTCTTCCTCTCCTCCAGCAGCTGACCGTTGACCTGCCGGAGCTCCTCCTGCAGCTGCTGCCTGGCCTTCTCCAGCCCCCGGGCGCTGCACGGGAGAGACAAGAGGGCAGAGCAATGAAGACCAGGGTGACTACCCCAACCTGCCCCAGCCAAGGAACGAGCCCACCAGGATGTCCTAAAATAGAGCTGCACGTGCAACCTCCTCACTGCCATTTCCGCACTGCTGAATAGCTACTTAAGGCCTTTCAGGAGTTTCTGGATTTCAAATAGACTCCCAGGGTGATCCCAGAACACGGCAGGGAGGGGGAGGGGAGCTCAACTCCACACACAATGGGAAAAATTGTGGGCGATGCAGCCCTTCGGGAGACGGGGCTTCTGAATGAGCGAGATTGCAGAGCCAGCGCTTCCCTCTGAATCACCGCAGATGTGCGGTGTGGTGCAGGGACGCAAATGCCGGGCGCCTGGGAGGGGGGCCTGTTCTAAAAACATTCTGCAGGGTTGAAAGCTCAGCCTGGCTCGGAGCACTGGGAACCTGAGAGGCCTCCTGGGGACCGACGCCATGGGCAGGGTCAACGCCAGGCTGCCCAAGAGGCTCTCCCTGTCCACCCCTTCAGGTATCTGATGGTTCCTTTCAATTCTGCTTTTTAAACCTTCCTTTTCCCTGCATGTTCCCCACAGCTGCTGCCGCAGTCACTGTGCTGGTCGCCTGTCACCTGTTACCACAACAGCTTCTCAATGGCTCTCATTCAGCCCCTCAGCTACGGGGCACCAACCTGTCTCTTCAGACAGCAGAGGGGCTGGGTCATGCGATTTTGAAGGCTTTGGTGGCTCCAAACCACTCTTGGTGAACCTCCGAGTTCATGGCCTGGTAGTAAAGGGCCTCAGGGGTTTGGATCTTGCCTCTCTCTCTCTGTCCTTCAGAAGCCAACTTGGTAGCCAGGAAAATAACAGCATCCACTGACCCTGACTCCAAGAACCCACCCATGATGCAATGGCTTTCTGTGATTCTAGGAGCCCCAGGACTCCACCTCCCCACAGGAAGGCACTCCTAGGAAGGGCACAGCAAGGCGCAAAGAGGAAAGGCTGCCCCAGGGAGAGGGTGAGTCAGGATGCTACCTCCCGGATGGGACGGCCAGACAAATGGGGATTCCAGGGAAGGGACGCAGCCAGGAGAGAGGAGAGACCACCCTGGGGAGGGGGTGAGTCAGCAGAGGGCCCAGCCCCAACCAGACAGCCCTGGGCAGGCGAGGCATGGGACAACACTGGAAAACAGGAGCTGCACACGACTGTATTAAGCATTACAAGTCTCTTTCCAAAGGAAATCTTCACTAAATATTAAAGAAATAAAACACAGCACTGGGATGAGAGAAAAGGTAACACCGACAACAGTCCTGTGAGGTGACCCTCAGGGACAGCCAGGAGGCTGTCTGTAAAAACAGAAATGTGGGATGGGGCCATGAATATCAGCCTTAGGCTTCAACCTTCCTGGGCATCCAACTGTTTCTACGTTGCTTTAGTTGCATGACTTGAGGAAAAGCTTAATTCCCAGGGCTGGCAGATAACATTTTCTTTGATGGAGGTCTCCACTGGACTCATGTTTTCTACTTCATATCTGAGTGAAGTCAATACAGGGTTTTCAACTGTAACTTAGTATGAATCTTTTAATAAAGGGTAAGTTGAAAGTGAATGTGAATCCAACACTCACAGAATGTCGGAAAGGACTCGGTGGCAGTTCTGATCTAGCCAAGCGTGGTGGGAACCCCCTGCCTAGCCACCCTCGGCCAGCCCCAGCAAAAGTCACACAAGCCCACAGACGCGGGGCCAATGCACTGGTGTTCAGGGCGCATGCGTTTCATTTCAGCCTCGTGTGATCTTGTAAAATATGTATCTCATCTTCAAGCCATATCCTGGAACACAACTAAAATCCTTGGACTCTCCCGAGTGAGGTCTTCCATTTGCCAGTGACCAACTGTGGCTGCAGCCCCTGGGCAGCTGCAGGACAGGGCTGGTCACCAGGAAGACCAAGGCTGGACTAGAGGCTGGGGACTTCAGCCCCACCCCCAAGCTCGGGGAAGGAGAGCAGCTGAAGGCTGAGTAGCTCACCAACGACCAGTAGTAGTCAATTATGCCCACATAATGAGACCTCTATAAAAACTCAAAAGGACTGAGCGGGGAGAGCTTCTGGTGTTCCGGGAGAGTGGTGGCCCGGGGAGGATGTGGAAGCTCCACGTCCTTCCCCTACTCCTCGCCATGCTCATCTATTCAGCTGTGTCCTTTGCAGCAACCTGGGTTATTTATATATATAAACTGGTAAACACAAGTTTCCTTGAGTTCTATGAGACACTCTAGCAGACTAATCAAATCCAGGGGGAATCTCAACTGGGTGGTAGGAACCCCAATTTACAGCCAGCCAGTCAGAGGCACACCTGTGGCTTGCAACTGGCACCAGAGCTGGGGACGGAGCCCTCGCCTCAGGGGTCTGACGCCACCTCCAGGTAGACAGTATCAGAATGGAACTGAGTGAGGGGACACCTGGCTGGTGTCCCAGGCAGAACGGACTACTTGCTTGGCGGGTGGGGAAATGCCCCACGGCCAGTCTTCTCTGGTCAGAGGAAACCATTCTGAGTCTTTCCTATCATATCAGCCGCCATGGACAGCCCTGCAGACACTGACTCCGGGTGCAGCACTGGCCAGGGCCCACTGCCCCTCCAGGCACTCCATAACCAAAAATGCAAAATACAATTAAAAACGGGCACAGAGCTCACAGGAAGCATATATTATGAGGCTATTTTTAGCTCCAGTTCCATTTTAAACTATTCATAGGCCAATTCAATAGTCAAGGGCTATAAAATCTCCTCTTGAATCACTGAATTGAGGTGCAAAAGTTCACAAGTGCTTTAAATCACAGCTCTGTGTGGTCATTTAATTAGAAGAATACCACCGTTTCCTGCCCTCTGCTTTAAAGCCAGGGTGTGCAAAGGCAAGAATGAGCCATCTTTCAGGTGATGGGCACAGCACAGGTGTCTGGGAAGGCAGAGGGGTGAGGGGCTACACTGGGAAGCGCCCTCAGCACAGGATGATGGGCAGCCTTGAAGGGAGCCCAAGAAACTCACACCCTGCATCTTGAGTGAGGGTGCGCTCACATCTGTGTGGAGGCACATGTGGGGCTGGAGTCCTCCCCATCGAGAGCAGATGTGAGTCACACATGGCCACAGGACAGCAGCTGTCCTGCTTCAGAGCCCAGGCTTCCGGAGCTTGAGGACCAGGGCTCGGCAAAATACAGCCATGTGCCAAGACCAGCCTCCGGGAACCGGATGTGAACTGAGCGGCTTCCAACCCGCTCTCTGCCACCTAGGCCACCTCCGTGAAGCAGGCAGCAGGCACTGAGGTGCCCCAAGCTCGGCCCCTAGCCTGCAATAGCAACTCAGCAGAACTAGCAGTCCCTCCACTATTGCTTAAGGGGTCTTTACCCACTCCTAGCTTTTCGAATACTGAGGTAATAATGCAAAAACAGCAATCAAGTAGTTTTCCAAACTAAGGTTGAGATGAAAGGGCAAGCGTGTAAACAGCTAACCAGGCTTTGTTAAAGATTTGTAGGAGCACTGAGCCCTGGCCAAGGGCAGAGAAGTTCCCAACCTCCTCGGACCCTCACTGGCACCCTGATGTTTGTGGTCATCGGTCACCTCCTGGTCTCAAACCCTCCTCTTGCCCCTACCCTTAGCATAAGGGTAGCATAAGAAGAGCCTGAAATGTGTACTGACTTCAGATGGTCTTTGTGACTGAAGGTCACCATCTTTCTGATCTGCGTGCTCTCCAAATTCATCTGATTTTCTCCACACCACTCTCACCTCTTGTGTCTGGCTTTCAAGCAGCAAGCAGCTGAACCTGGACTCCATTACAGGCCTGGTCTAAGAGGCTGGGAAAATGCAGCAGCTACAGGACGTCCTGAAGCGTGTGTTCCACAGCACCCAGAGGGAAGACAGAGCCATAAGTGGTGTGGAGCTAAGCCCAGGCTAGAAAAGCTCACTGGCCAGGTTGTGAAGCAAACATCTCCTCCCCGGCAGTGAAATCCACATCATGAAGGGACACAGGAGAGATGAACCAGAGCAACACACGTTCCCAGCTGAGGGATGGCATGGGTGGCAGAGACACACCCACTCCAGGACCGTCCAGCTGTAGGCACTTGGGCCCGCATCATCTGGGCCACATCCGCAAGGCCTCATAGTTAACCAACACCCAAGTCTTCTAAACCACAGAACTAGACTGTAAAACTCCAACACCAAGAACTGGACGGTAAGACTCTGACACCAACAACTGGGCTGTAAGACTCCGGCACCAACAACTGGACCGTAAGACTCCAGCACCAACAAGTGGACTATAAAACTCCAACACCAAGGTATGACAAGGAGATGACACTGCAGAATGCTCACCAAGAGCTGGGTCCAGGACGTTCGCCACTCACACCTCACTGGCAGGTGAGTCCGCCCACTCCGTTCAGCATATGGGTTGTGGATGAGGGCAGCCACACACCATTCCAGCCACCAGAGACAGCGGCATCGAACACCACAGCCAGCCTGGTCTCACTGGGCCTCCTTCCATTCTACTGGGATGGGAATCTCAGACAAAGAAGCCACACATGTGGGATGAGCAGAGAATCTCACGGGGGTGCAGGTACCAAGGTAACTGAGAGGAAGAGGAGGACCCTCAGACACCAAGGGTGCAATGACTTCAGGAAGCAGCTCCCATCCCTTGGGCTGTGGGAACACAGGGCAGAGGCTGACATCATGAAAACATAGATGCTTAGAGATGGGCCCGGTGGAAAGGAAACTGAGGTGGCTGAGGGGAGGCTGTGCTGGTGTCTGCATGAGGGCCCTGGAGGGCCTGGACCCAGGCCTCTGAGAACAGGGCAGCAGCCCATGAAGCTGTAATCTCTGGGCGCTATAGAATCTGCAGGCTGGTGGGCTGCCAGGAGGGAGCAAAACCAGTGGCTGAAGAGCTGCCCCCTCAACCTGCAGACTGGTCCCAGGGCCCTCTCCAGCACCCCCAGGGCAGGCCCTGATGCGGGTGCCTGCTCACCAAGCACAA